ACGAGGAGGAGTGAGGGGCACGGCGGAGCTGGCCCTCAACACAGAGCGTGCACGGAGGCGCGGGTGAGGAGGGGAGCGCACGGAACGACTCAGGGAGGCCTAGGACAAGACGGTGCTGGGACATGTGACGGAGACGTGTGAGGGCGGGGTGACCTAGACGCTGGTGCCACAGAAGTGACAAGTGAGTAAGTGACCGACACGAGCACGCTGCAGCAACCTGGGAAAACGCAGGTACCTGGGGAGGCGTCCCAACCGGGGGGAAGCGGTGTCCAGCGTGAACAGGCCAGACATTGGGTCCCGGGGGAACGTGGTGAGGCGGGCACCAGTGGCGGCCTCAGTACAAATAGCGTACCGCTCGTGCTCAGGGAACGTAGTGGTGACGCCAAGGTCCTGGAGGCTGCCGATACCAACTAGGTTCCTAGAGAACGAGGGGATGTGCAGGCCTGTAAGGGAGCCTGAGGGAACCGCCGGAGAGGGGAGAGTAGTGGAGCTACGGGCAACTACAGGACCGGAGCAAGGGTCGGCAAGAGCAGCTGTAGCAGGAGCGGCAAGCGGCGTAAGCGTCGTGGAGTCGCGAAAGAAGCACCGGGAAGCGCCAGAGTCCAGGGTGAAGGAGAGCGCGGCAGCGGCGACAGAGGTCGGAGGAGCGAGGGAGGACCCTAGGCTAAACAAGGCAGGGGATCCTACGCCTGACGCAGCAGGGGAGCCTGAACTAGACACACTGTGCACACCTACGCTAGGCAACACAAGGTAATCGGAACGAGTCACACTAGAGTGATCAACATACAGCGCATACAAAGAAGAGCTAATCTCATCCGTGTCCATACCAAAGACCTGAATACGATGACGGAGCAGACTGTGCCAGTCGGGGAGGTCAGGCGATGGGCCGAAGCGGAGACGAAACAGGTCGTCTAGGCGACGAAAGCAACGAGCGGGGGTATGGCTGATCTTACTGCACACGAGGCCGCGGGGAGGACCGGTCTGGAGCTGGTACTGGTAGTGCCCATCACTCTGACTACCACCCGACGACACGCTGCGCGAGCGACCACTGCGACCACCGTCACCTCCAGCTCCAGGCCACCCGTGCGGGAGACGGCCGACCCTCCGCTGCTGCTGCTGGTGGTCCAGCTGCGGAGCCTGCTGCTACTGCTGCTGCTACTCCGGGGCACCAGCCCCAGCCCCCCCATCAGTACTACCAGCGGGCGAGCCACCTCCACCACCGGCACCACCCCCTCCTCCGCTACTTCCGCCACCCAGCCTTGGGTTGGCGACCCTTACCCGGACGAAACTGCACTACGGCGGCTGTCTCCGTAGCAAGAGCTTTCTCAGCAACCGCAGAAGAACCGTCGGATTAAGTGCACTGAGCAGGGGCACAGCCCTGAAAGATAGATACTGGGCGATAGGGCGTTGACGGGTCTCTATGGCAGACAGGGTGTCAACAAAGTCAGTGAGGGTGAGGTCAGCGGTATGGAGACTAAGGAAGTGATCGCCGGCAATGGCAAGGCGGTCAGGGAGGCGCGTAGCAAGCAGGTAGAGGGTAGAGCAGATGGGGGGCTTAAACACACGAAGCTGAGCCTCAGTGCAGGCAGCGCGCCAGGTCTGTCTAGCGTACGCAGGTGGGCAGCTAGGTCAGCGACAGTGGGGAAAGACGCAAGGTCAGGAAAGAGCATGGGCAGGATCAGGCGACCTACAGAGGCAGAAGGCAGGGTGGAATGGCGTGCAACAACAGCCTTTAGGAACTCCTGCGCAATCCTGACGGATTTAAAGCAGGGGCGCTCGGACAGGGGAAGGGCATGACTAATATAAAAGCTGTGCGACAGCGTCATGTGACAACTAGACAGCACGGGCAAGGGCAGCAGCTGCAGCGGACTCACGACCAGCAGAGGTGGGGTCAGCGGGGAGGGCAGCAAGGGGGTCCGGACAGGGGATCGTACCATCGATGTGGACGGCCAGGGAGTGGCCGTCCTGCCGTTGATGAGTCAGGTGTCGCTGGAGGTTGACGAGCCACGAGTCGAACTCAATCGGTTGCCCCTCAGCATCAAAACGCACGACCGAGTCCGCCAACATGGTTGCAGCAGCAGGAGAAAGACAGTACTGGGAAGGAGAGCGCAGCGGAAAGCTATGATGTGCGGTGCAGTGCAGTACTGTGTGGTGGAGGGAGGTGCAGTACGGTAGGGTGCAGTGCAGTTCGGTGCAGTGCGGTGTCGTGCGGTGCAGAGCGGTGCCGGGCGGTGCAGCGCGGTGCAGAGGGGCCGAGGACGGCGACGAGGCGTCTAGAAGACGGGGCCGGGGGCGGCAAGACGACGGGGCCGGCAAAAGAGGCGGGGCCGGCAGGGAGGCGGGGTCGGCTGGGTGACAAGGCCGGCTAGGAGGCGGGGCCGGCTGGGAGGGGGGGGGGGGCGGTTAGGAGGGGGGCCCGCGAGGTGACGGGCCGCGGGGTCGCTCTGGGACGGGGCCGCAGGGCCGCTGGGGGACGGGGCCGCGGGGCCGCTAGGTGACGGAGCCGTGGGGCCGCAAGGTGACGAGGCCGCGAGGCTGCTAGGGGACAAGGCCGCGGGGCCGCTAGGGGACGGGGCCGCAGGGCTGCTAGGGGACGGGGCCGCGGGGCCGCTAGGGGACGGGGCTGCGGGGCCGCTAGGTGACGGGGCCGCGGGGCCGCTAGTGACGGGGCCGCGGGGCCGCTAGGGGACGGGGCCGCAGGGCGACGAGGCGGCTAGGACCTAGGGCGGAAGCGCTAGGGGGGGAGGGGGGGGGAGGGACCTACCTACTCATGATACCATCTTCAAGTGAAAGAATATGTAGAACAAGGCATACAAGGGAATATAACATAACGGGTTGTACTCCCTTAGGCACAACCATATATAGTTTACAGAAACTTACAATATATTTTTTACATTCAGTCCATCATGAAAGTGGGATGACACAGACTAATTCATACAAGGAAAAACGTGTTATGGGTCTGCCATACCATAAACGTCTGGTCTGGTTCCAACCAATTGTGTACGCTTACTTACCGTGCCAGCACATAATAGTTATTCATACTTTTATGCGAAAGTATGATGGGGAGGGGGTTAATATCGTCGTCCAAGAAAAATATGGTATATACTTTTGGACGGATGGTGAACGAAGTTCTTAATAGTGCAAACTTCACTCAAGCCGGTATCCATGTAAGGAATTAGTAATTCCTTACTGAGGCTTGCTCATAGCCTACAACTCGAACAGTCCCGAACCAGCGATATGGTTCCAGACCTTTCAGTTCGAGCCTCCTGAGCCTTTCCGGACCTCGCTTCGACATATTGAGGCCCTTCGATACCTTTCCCAAACCTTCTCATCCTACGTCCAGGATTAGCCTAGGTGCTCTGTACACTCTGTTGTCTTTCATTTGATTGTCGTTCACAGTTTCGCCATTGCCCTCCGCGCTACTCTCGGCAGTTCCATTCATAACAATCCACTTGTATTGTAACACTTATCGGAACCCGACGTTGAGGAGCACGACAATATCCCCAACGACGTCCAGGTATGTACAGTACCGCAATCGAAAGGGTTGCTTCACCAACAACCAACCAATCCCACACGGTTGCTTCAAAGAGGCAACCCAGGAAAGCAATTTGATGTTTCCGGGCAGCTTCATGACGTACTTGCGCTGCGAACTGGGCTTCATGGAAGTTTCAATCGGTTGAGGCCTTCCCTAGCAACCACCCGATGGTGACGTAGGCGTCATGGGCACTGTGTGCCTGCATTGCGTAGGCCCCTTTTCTCGTGACCAGGGCTCTGGCTAAAAAAAAGAGTACCCTTAATGTCGCGAAATTAAGAGTTGTTTTCGACTTGATCCTTTTTTTCATAGTAGGCTTTTCCTGATTCCGTCTTCCTAACGGATTATTTTCAGTGTGACTCCTTGACTTTACGGGTTACTTGTATTTGATTCCGTACGAAGTGCACTTGTAGTAGGAGTTCTGTTCTAAGTGATGTATCACCACTTCCCACTCTTCCTTTACTAAGCAAAGAGTGAAGTTACTTAGCGGGAGGCTTTCCCACCCTTTCAACCGCCTGAGGCATGGTATGTGCGAGAAACAGTCCATGGGGTTCGAGGGGTTTTCCTTAGCCGTGGCCAAGGCCATTTGTCTTTGAGTATATTAGTATCAAACCAAGAGGCTCTTCGACGAATTCGTATGCTAGCGGGTAATGTTTCGGCGATGCCGTCCGTTAACGGGTAATTTCGGGGCCGATTTTGTGACCTAACGGAATACCCTAGGCTTAGCGAGAGCTCTGCTCGTGACAGGCTTGTCGCCTTCCTCAAATCAGGTGCGGGGTGCAGCGCAGCCAAGCCAACCAGCATGGTGTGTTGTAGAGCGGAAGCGTTCGTTTGACGCACCTGGTAATGCGCCGCTAATTGTGGAACTTGTTTTGGCGCGCAATGGATTTTTGTCAATTTCTCGACGATGATTGGCCTTCGGTGAGGAAGGGACGCATGGCTGCGCCAAACCCTTCCCCCCAACAATTCCGCCCAGACAGTTTAGGCGCGGGCAGAAGTTGAGTGCATCATAACTTTCCCGGGCGTTGACCTTGATGAGGAAGCTTTTGTCTCCATGAGAAATGTTGCGGGTTCGGTGTAGAGCACTGTTCAGAGTGCACTGTTTCTGTAAAATCGCCAGACAAGCTCGCACCCACCACCGCAATCTGTTGGTCAGGATAACGCAGCATTCCAATTGCTGCTGGCCCGGTGGGAGGTAAGGGAAAGCAGGGGGAGATCGGTTTGCGGCGGAGCTTTCCGCCTGCGGGGATCTGCGGCGGATGACTGCGCCCACAGGTCCCCGCAAGCGCTCGGCTTTTTGTCTGCTTTGATGTTCGTATCGTACCCCTTGGTTGGTTGGCTGTGCGGTTGCGCTGCGCACCCCCTTCCACAACCCCGCCTTTCTTCCACCTCTCCGCTGGGCTCAGCCCCGCTGCCACTGGATAGAACACCACCAGCAACACTAGGCAACAGCTACAACTTGAGTACCATGCTTGCTCTACCCGCATGCACGCCTAAAACGTGGCTCGACTTATCAACCACTTCGAGGGAGTCTCACCCGTGCTGGTGCTGGCTCTACCAGGTATACTGTCTTGCTGCGGCTGTCCGTAGTCGTTCTTCCTGGGCTGCTAACGTGGACCCCTGTGCCGTTTTTCCTTCGTAGCGAGTTCACCGCAGCTTGATACACCCAGTAATTGCTGCTGTGGAGTGGTTCCAGCAAACGCTGCTCGCTGCATCTGCTACAGCGGTGTGCGATGATGGCTCCAGAGAGTCCATCTCCTCTTTATCTCTTCTACAATCCTCCTCTCGGCTCCGAATGTCTATCGCGCTCCTGTCGGAAGTACGTGAGGATAACGACTAAGAATAGTGAGTTCGGGAACGTCTAGATATCATATACCCCGCTATGCATAGATACGGTGTCACGTTAACCGCGATATTGTGACGTTCGCCTCAGCATCGCTCACGTGGCTTATAGCCAACTCGGTTGCCGTTTGCGGTGATCAGTTTCAGTTCTTTCTCTCATTCGCTCTTCCCGTCAAACTTTGTTTTCGCTTGCGCTCTCCTTCCTTCTTTCTTTCTTTCTTTCTTTCTCGCTCTCTCCTCCTCGCATTTGTCACCTCCCCAGCGACCTTCTCTTTCAGTCACATAACGTTCCCTCGCTCTTCATCCTCCCGCCTTACTCCCCACCCCTTCCAGTTCGCTCCCCTCACAGCCTTCCGTTCAGGCTCCCGCGATGACCCCGCTCACCACAAGCAGCAGCATATGCGCGTACGCCCACGCGGCACTCCCGCCGCACGACTTTCACGACCACCGGCAGTCCGCCTTTCCGCATGGTCACCCCCCCGCGGAATCCGTCGCGCCACATCTCGCACCTCGGGAATCTGTTTCTCCGCTTCCCGATCCCCCTGAACCCCGCATCGAGCCACAATCCGCTGTTTTGAATCTCGATCCAGCACCGCCTCTCATGGAGCCAGCGGGAGTGCACACTCCGTTCGATTCTTTCGCCGTCGAATCCGACGGCCACTTGTTCACGGACGTGGATTACGGGCTCGGCTCCCTAGACGACGCGTTTCACGGGCTCGAGACGTTCACGGACCTGTGCGATCTGCCGGGACCCACAGCGGAAGCGTGCGTTGTGCCGGATGGAGCAGCGGTTGAGAACACCATGGCTGCCGCCTGTGAGACTCTCGGCGAAAATTCGTCGCAGCACGTTAGCTGTCACCAGCACGTGCCACCAGAAGCGGCGGCGCCGCCGGCGCTGGCGCCCAACCTGGCGCCGTCTAACCTTTCAACTCCGCCTCTTCCGGCGCAGCAGCAGGACGGCTGGATGGCGCTGCTCGCAGCGGACCTTGGGCTTGCCGCGGAGGAGGCGCCCGCGGAAGGCTGCGCGGACGCAGGGATGCGCCTGTCGAGCGGTGCAGGCGCCTTCCAGGCGGAGGCGGATGTTGCGCTGCACGTTGGGGGCCAGGCGGAGGCGGATGCGGGGGAAGCTGGGGGGGTAGTGTGGGGAGGAGTTGCGGAAGAACGGGCGGTGGGTGGTGAGACCCACGTCTTTCAGCAGCAGCAGCAGGAGCACCAGCAACCACCGCTGTTCTCCGCGTGGGGGGCGGACGTCGTGAGCAGCAAGGGAAGGAGCTCCGCTTCGGCCGCGGAGTTCGCACAAGCGCAGCTGCAGCAGCAGCAGCAGCAGCAGCAGCAGCAACAGAGCCATGAATCGTCCGTGGGTTGGCAGGGCAGCAGCCTCGACGGCAGCAAACTCAACAGTAGCAGTCTCAATGGCGGCAGCAGCAGCCTCGTGTGCTGTTCCGCCAGCGACGACGAAGCGGTACAGGCGATGGTGGAGGGAGAGGAAGTGGGGGGAGACGCGGAGGAATTGCAGTACGGACAGGATAAGTTGCAGCAGCAGTTCTACCATTACCAGGGACAGCAGCAGCAGCAGCAGCAGCAGCTGGTGCTGCAGCAGCGCCAGAATCAGTACTCATTGCTGCATTATCCTTCCGCACGCGGCGTCTCTCCCTCGCCTCCAGCGGACGAGCCCGCCTTCCCCCGATGGATCTCCGCGCCTGCGATCCCAGCGCACAGCTCCGCCTGCCCGTGCGGGCGCTGTGCGCCAAGTGCGCATGCAGGGAAATCCCCTGCGAGGTCTCACTCCGCGCTCATATCTGGCGCAAGGGGGGTCAGCGGCAGGGCGGGGGCGGGGGCAGTAGCATCTGGTGCAGCGGGCCATTTCGCGCCAAAACTAGGTGCGGTCAGTGTTGGTAGAATCAGCCCTCCGAAAAAGCGGCAGCAGGTTCTTGTAGTGGCATCTGCATCGGCGAATCCTGGCCGTCGACCGGGGGATCTATCTCAGCGATTGGCGGCTGTGATTGACCGGATCGCGGCTGGCAACGCGCCTGCTGACGGTGGTGGTGGTGTAGCCAGTAGCCCTCGCGTTGCTCTCTTGCTTGACTCCGAAGGTCCTTCTCTTCCTGCTACTGGTGTTGCTACTGGTAGCGTTGCTGCTGGTGCGGGCGCCCTGACCGGTGCTGCAGCGTCGGCGTTGTCTCTGTGGGATCGAGTCCGGCGGGAAGGCCTGAGTAGATCAAATGGTTCTGGGACGGTTTCGGCTAGTCCCGCGCCACTTGCTGTCGCGTCTGCTCTTAACGCGGATGAGGGGGCAAACTTGCTGCCTGTGAGTGGCAGCAGCCCTGATGCGCTGCAGCGAGCAGCAGAGGGGGGGTTCAGGACAGGGGTGGCGGGTGGGGAAAGGGAGCGGCAGTTGGTGCTGGGAAGAGGGCCGGGGGCAGGGGCAGGGGCAGCGTCCCAGTACGCGAGGAAGGGGGCAGTGAAGGGAGGGAATGGCGGGCGGGGGGGAGCATTGCAACCGGATGGTCCGGATGGTGGGGCTGGCGTGTTAGAGCCGATTGCTTTCACAGACAGTGGCAAACGAGCACTGAGCCGGGATGGGAAGGCGAGCGGGTCTCGCAGGATAGGAGACGATGAAGAGGAGTTGGCGCATGCCGATGCGTACAGCAGTGGCCATGGCTATGCTCTGGCTGATTCCGCCACTGGCAACAAGGCCGTTGGCTTCTTCCATAGCAGCAGCACCAGCAACGGCAGTCGCGGCAGTGGCGGCACAAGTGACAGCAACAACACCACCACCAACAACAACAACAACAACAACAACAACAGTAGTGATAGCAGCTTGGCCTCTGGCAGCCAGTCTCGTGCCCTGGCCCTGCCAGCGCGGCGGTACCTCAGCAGCTTGAGCTACGGCGCAAGGACGCTGTACCCAGACGCTACTACCGCGGCAACAACCGACAGTGGATCGCCACTGCCGCCGCCGCTGCCGCAACTGCCAGAGGGGCAGCAAGCCACCGTGCCCACGTCTTCCGCCCTCGCTCTGCTCCCCTCCGCATCTCACCTCGGCATGTCGGAATCCGACCTCTTTCTCCGCCTCGCTGCTGGCGCCCGCACCGCCGCACACCCACCCGCTCTCCCCTCCCCCTCTGTCTCCGCCTCTCTTTCCCCCTCCTCCCTCCCGTCCAATGGGTTTGCGCACCCTGTTTCATTCACCATGCATACGTCCGCTTGCTCCGCATACTATACCGCCTCCTCCCCAACGAGCTTGCATATCACTGTCCCTTCGGTAACAATTCCGAAGCCGCTTTTCCCGGAGCCCGTCTTTGTGGGATGTCCGGTGGAAGCGCGGGCGACTGAGGCAGTGGTGAGTGAGGCGGCGGGCATGTGGAGGCACGATTCGAGCCTGGCGCCCGTGTCGGCCACTGCCAGGCTGAGAACTGTGGATCAGCTCACTGCGCTCGCTGAGGCCTATGCCACGGACGACCAGGTGAGGGGTTTCTTCTGCTGATTCTCTCTTGGCTCTGTGGGGGGTGGTGAGCTTGCATTGGCCATTTCCTCTGTGTGTGTGTGTGTATGGGTGTCTTGTGGGTGTCTTGTTGGTGTCTTTTAGATCTTGTAGGGAAAGGGGTGGGATGAAAATGCTCTCGTGGCACTCATGCCTGTTATTTCTGGTGCATGCTTTTCCATCTTCCTCGCCCCCCCCCCCTTCTCTCTGTTCCCTTCAGACGAAGATCCGTTTCCTGAACCGCAAGCTGACGAAGAAGGCCGACCCGATGGGCGATCCTCTGCAGCGCACGGTGCACTTTTTCCTCGAGGCGCTGACGGCGCGGCAGGAGGGCCGCGGACTGGAGCTCTTCAGGCGACCTGTCGACACGCCCTTAGAGGTACTGCTGCTGCTGCTGCTGTCGGGGGAGGGGAGGAGAGGAAGGGCTTTGTCTGTGGATTGGCAGAGTTGCTACACGCAATCTGTCTGCTTTGTCTATCCTTCCTCCTGTTGCTGTCGTTGCCCCATCACTCCCCTGCTCTCCTCCCTGCTAATTCATACCTCCCCCTCCCCTCCCCTCCCCTCCCCTCCCCTCCCCTCCCCTCCCCTCTCCCCCCCCCCCCCCCTGCCTCTCTGGCTGTCCTTGGCATGGCTGTGCAATGCGCCACCCATTTTTCCGTCCCTTTCCTTATCCCCTCGGCTCGACACCACAGGAGGTATCGCAGGCCATGATGCTGCTGTGCCGCGCGGTGCCCTTTGTGCACACGTGCCGCACGGTCATCTACGAGGCTGTCCTCCACGCACTCGCCACCGAGCCTGTCTGCACGCACCTGCACCTCATCAGCTTCGGCATGCTCCCCGGCAACAACTGGGTGGAAGTCCTGCATTCCCTCCTCCACCTCCCCAGCGGGGCCCCGCCTCGCATCACCCTCACGGGCATCGACGCCCCCACGACCCCAGGGAAGATTGCCATGAAAGCAGCAATGGGGGACTTTGGGCAGAAGCTGGAGGCGATGGCTGCGGCACTGGGGCTGAATTTCACGTACAGGGCGGCGGGGGTGGGCATGGAGGCGCTGCGGCCGGGGATGATGCAGCGGGAAGGGGAGCCTGGGGAGGTGGTGGTGGTGGCGTGCGCGATGCACATGCAGTTCCTGCCGGACGTGTCAGTGGTGCGTGCCAACCAGAGAGACACCGTGCTACGGGTGAGTGGGATGGGGTGAGGGGTGAGAGGGTGGTAAGGTTCCGCTCAGGCTAGGGATGGAGTTGAGGGGGTGGGAGGGATGATGGGGTGGGGGGAGGTGGGGGGGGGGAAGGGATGGGAGGGGGGTATAGGCGTGTTGAGGTTATGCCGTGCAGGATGGAGTGTGCAGAAGTGAATGGGCCTTGTCAGTCCGCTCCTGTTTTCTGCTGGTGGTTGGCTAGCACCCAGCTTACTTACGACGTGATCCTTTCCTTTCCTAACCGCCTGTTCCTCTCCCCTCTCGCCCTCGCATGAACACACATCATGCTGCCCATCCAGGTCGTCCACTCCCTCCGTCCCGCCGCCTTCGCTCTCATAGACGTGGACGCCAACTTCAACAGCCCATTCTTCCTCTCACGCTTCCGCGAAGCGGCCATGTACTACACAAACCTGCTCTTGTGCGTCGATGCCGCGGGCATGTCGCGCACCTCGCCCCGCCGTGTTCTCTTCGAGTCCTGCTACCTCGCCCGCGACATCGTCAATGTCATTGCGTGCGAAGGCCTGGACCGCATGGTTCGGCCCGAACGTATGGAGCAGTGGCAAGCTCGGCTGGAGAGGCTCGGTTTCTTCCCCCGCGCTGTGCCCCCGGACCTCGTGCAGAAGATTCTGGTGCTGCCTGCGTTCCGGATGGGGGGTAGGAGTAATGGGGTTGGCGGTGCTGGTGGTGGTGGTGGTAGGGGCCAGGTGGGGTATGATGTGGCAGAGCAGGGACACACACTGCAGGTCACATGGAATGGGGAAAGGATCTTGTGGGCTGGGCTCTGGTGTGCTGCCGCACCGCTGCAGATGAGTAGTGGGAATGGGACCTGTTTACCTATGGTTATGTGAGGCTGAAGATGGAGGAAGCATGTTTCAGTGGGAGCCTCAGAGGTGTGGGCTTCTTTTCCGCTTGTTCCCCCAAGAAGTGATTGGGGAATGGTCCAAGAGGACTGAGAGATGGGGAGTCTGCAATTTCTCTGCTCCGTTCGTTGCTTTTTGCTTGTACCCATACATTTCTGTTCTTGTACAATTTTAACACCTTCAAAATTTTGGAATTTCCCTCCGTTTAGATTGTCACCGACGATCTTATCACATACCGGTACAATGAAGATGGTGGAAGCCTGTTTTACTGAACACCAAACATGAAGCGTTTCCACTACAATTTTGAGGTGCCCGTCTACACCAGTCTCAACCTGATCTCACTCCGCTCGTAATCCATTCTGCTAACTCCGCGCACTCAACTTCTAGTCTCCTTTCCTCCCACTCCGGGTGGGCGACCTGACCAGGGCCTCCTACCAGCATTTCGCGGCGGATCCGCCAAGAGTAGGGATTACTCCCGCCAGCGTCCCACGTGTCAGATCCTTATCTCCGGTCGCCCCATTTTTTATCGCTCAAGGCCTAACACCCTTAGGAACGAGCGCTGGTTACCACTGATGGTTTCGCTGACAGTCCACATTTCCGTTCAGGTCCGTGTCCGCTAGTCACACTCACAACTTGTCGTTAATCGCATCGCCTCGGGATTGTACGACCTCACATCGCTCGCTCTCCAGACCTTAATGCCTGGACGACCGTCAGGCGCGCCAGATCAAGCTACGCGGAAGGGAAGGGTGCATTGGGTTCGGCCACTTCTTTTCCCCTCCTTTTTAAAAATAAATATATTTTCCCCGCCGCCGCCGCCGTCGTCGTCATCGTCGTCGTCGTCGTCGGTCCGCTAGTTAGCCGCTCGCTCGCTCCTCCCTCCCGCGTCGCCCGGCTCGCCTTCGGCGAGATGGCAGCGGCAGCGGCGGCGGGCCTTCAGGCAGCGTCTCTCGCGTACTGCTCCGCGCCGAGCCGTGTTCCCCATGCAACGATGAAACCAGCAGCACTGACAGCAGCAGCAGGAGCAGCGCGCCACGTGTCCGCCTCTCCTGCGCCTGTCGGTGCTGCAGCCAGCAGCAGCAGCAGCAGAAGCTGCGGTAGCAGAACCCGCAAAACCCCCACACAACCCTTTTCCAGCCACCGACCACTGCGCGCCGATCCGACGACGACGACGCTGGCGACGATGGCGACGATGCCGACGAGTCCTTACGACGCTAGAATCGCGAGATGCATCGAGCGGCGCCGCTGGCCGAACCCAGAGTGCCGCGATTGGCGCAAACTCGGCAGAAAGTTGGCGGTCAGAGCCGCGTTAGGTGGCGGGAATCAAGGCGACGGGAACTCGCAGACCAGTGCTAATGCTACTGATAGCGTGAGCGCTGCTAGCGATACGGCTGCGGATCTCGCTGCAGCGGCGCAATCAGCGGCCGCCGCGGCGGGCGCCATCCCCATGGATTCCCCCCGCACCGCTTCCCCCCCGCCGCCCGCCGCCCCCTTGCCCCGCCTCACGCCATACTCCCTCCTAAAGCTCGTCGTCGCCGCGATAATCGCGGTGACCGCCGGCCGCGCCGTGTTTGGCGCCGTGATCGGCGCTGCGCTGCACCCGGAGGTGCTGCTGCGTGCGAGCTGGCTGCTCGTGGTGTGGCCGTGGCCCGCGGCGGCGCTGATTGCGGCGTGGACTGCGGCGACGGCGGCGGCGGGTGGGGGAAAGAAGCAGCCGCTGTGGAAGCAGGTGGGCGTGCTGCTCGGCGCGCTGACGTGGCTGATTCTCGTGCCATGTGGGGCCTTCCAGGGGAGGGGAAGAAGGGAGGGAGAATGGGAGAGGGAGGGAGGGGGGAAGTGACCGGGAGGGAATGGGGAGGGGGCGGGAGGGAGGGAGGGATGCAGGGGAGAAAGGAGAAGAGTGGGGAGGGGGAGGCAGGGTGGGAGATGGGACGCTCGGACAAATGGATGGATGGATGGATGGATGGATGCAGGAAGAGGGATGAACGTAGCCTCGGGGCACAGGAGTGGGGAGGGGACAGGGTTTATGGCGTAGAGGTCATGTGCACGCCGTGTGCACGCCGTGTGCACGCCGTGTGCACGCCGTGTGCACGCCGTGTGCATGCCGTGTGCAATTACCCCGTGTGCAATGACCCCGTGTCACGCATGTGTGCGGTGTGGTTGTGCTGGTGGGTGGTTTCGCCCCTCCCAAGCAGGCCATGTGTGAGCGAGGGGGTTCGCTCAGGGTTCTGGAGCGGGTGGAGAGTGTGTGGGGAGGTTTGTCATGAGCGCAGCGCGAGTGCAGGTGGGGGAAGAGGAACTGGGAGGGGTTTGGTGGCGGAACACAGAAGGCGGGAGTACTGTGAACGTAACAACGGGAGGCCAAAGCGGAGAATGAATGAATGAATGAATTAATTAATTAATTAATGAACTGCTTCAGGCACTACTGGAAATTTACCATTTCTCCTGCCCTGTCTCCCCCTCTCTTGCTCTCTCTTCTACCCTCCCTTCCCGGCTCCCACTTTCCCTGCCTCCTCCACGCCCCTTCCGTGTCTCGCTCTCCCGTCTCCCTCTCCCGCTCTCTTCCTCTCCCTCTCCCTCTCCCTCTCCCTCACTTCCTCTCTCCCCCGCAGGGCTACCTGGACGGGTGGCGTGTGAGTCTGTGTGTGCTGTACGCGGTGTTCTTCAGCGCATCTGCCGTGGTGCGCCTGCAGCTGTATGGGGACCTCGCGCCCCCCAGCAAGGACAGGCAGCAGGCCACCGCCACCAGCAGAACGGCGCAGGTCAGTCCGTCCGACCACCCGCCCACCCGCCCGCCCGCCTGTCAAGCCTTTATTCCCTGGTGACCACTTCCCAGATTCTTTCATTCCTTGCTGCAGCTGGTGCTTCTCAAGCGGTCGGTCACCTGTATCTGTTTCTCTCCTCGTCCCCCTCCCCCAAAACCCCCCCCTCTCCCCCTCCTTCCCTCCTCTCCCCTTCCCCCAACCTCTCCCGCCATACTCCACCCTTTCCAATGCCTCCTCCTACCCTACCCTTTTCCCGACCTTTGACCCTCATTCTCGTCCTCAGGTTCTCTTTGTCTTATCCATGGTCGGAGGCCATGGGTACGCTGCCCTGCTGCTGAGTCTGCCTCCAGCTTTCAGACGTCTCAAATTTCGAGCCGTCTCAAATTTGTGCTTCCAAACGTCTCACACTCGAGTTTTGCGCCATCTCAACCCCCCCCTCCCTCCTCCCGCTTTCCCCCTCCTCCTCCTCCCGTTTTTTCCCCTCAGGTTCTCTTTGTCTTATCCGTGGTGGGAGGCCATTGGTACGCCGCCTTCGAGTCCGCCTCCCAATCAGCCTTCCTCACGCTATCCACCGCTACAACAGCCGCCACAAGCACCGCCACAGCAGCTGGAGCAGCAGCACCACCACCTGTGGTCGCTGCCCCTTTTGCCGCAGCTCTCGACCCCTGGGCGTCGCGGCTGGCCCCTGTGCTGCTGGTGGTGGCCCTGTGGCTGCACTGGGACGCGGCGTTCTTCCTGGGCAAGTACTTCGACCGCCTCGTCGTGCCACGGGCCATCGTCACCGTAGGGCCGTACCGGTCGCTGCGCCACCCGCTCTACACCTCCTACATGCTGCTCTTCTGCGCCTTCTGCCTCTCGCTGCACAGGTCAGGTTGCCACCCAGCCCTGCACGGGTGGGTCAGTCAGCCCTGCACGGGCCAGTCGCCATCCAAGCCCCTTTCAAAGGGCCTCTAGAAGATCTGTCCTGGTTTGTCATATGCTGCTGCAACCATGTGGTTTGTCATATCTGTACCCTTGTGGTTTGTCTTGTGCTGCTGCACCTTCTGCCTCTACCTGCACAGGTCATCCAGCCCTCAGCCTCTGCACTCATTCCTCTTCCCGCACCGTGCCGTGCCTTTTTTATTTCTTCCCCTTTCCCTTTCCTGGTTCTTTCCTCCGCCGCTGGCTGGTCTCGATGCCTCGATGTCGAACCGAGCGTGTGGACCAGGACCCTGGTCCCCTGGTGGCCTTTTGCTCGCCGTTTGCTCGCACTTTATTCGCCCTCTGCTCATCTTTTACTCGGGCATTGGTTTTCCTCTTCACCCGGGCCAGTCCCCACCTTGGTTACTCGCAACTCACACATGCTTCCATGACTACTCAACTCACCACCCCCTACCAGCCCTTCCCCTCCCCTCCTTTCCTCATTCCCTTTCCCCCTCTCACTCTCCGTATTCTCCTTCACTGCTTCCCACTCTCCCCCCCCCTTCCTCCCCTCCTCTCTCCCTCCTCCCCATCCACCGTCCTTCTCACCCCTTGCCTTTCATCTCCCTCGCCCTCCCCCCCCATCCTCTTCCCTTCCCCTCCCGCCCCGCAGACCTACAAGACGATGCTCTTCCTCTTCCTGGCCGCTTTGCTCTACTACTGTGCGCGCATCACTCTAGAGGAGGCCGCCCATGCTGCTCTAAAGTCCTTCCACCCACTCTCCTCTCCCCCCGCCCCCCCTCCCACTCCCTCTCCCCCCCTCCCCTCTAAAACCTGAACCCCAACCCTCAGCTACAAGGCAATGCTCTTCCTCTTCGTCGCTTCGCTGCTCTACTACCGGGCGCGCATCGCACTAGAGGAGGCCATGCTGCGCAAGTCCTTCCCGGAATACCAGCAGTACTGTCAGCGCGTGCCCTACCGCCTGCTGCCCTACGTCTACTGAAGAGCCTTTCTTTTAGGCGCCTCAAAAATACACCGCCAGTACTGCCAGAGTTTGGGGCCCTACCGCCTGCTGCCCTACATCTACTGAATCTTTGCTACTGATGAACGCTGCTCGCCGCACTCTTCCCTCACTGCTCTGTAGCTAGGCTCCTAGGCTTATGGATCCCCCAAGATTCCCAAACTCCGAGGCTCTCTGGTTCCCAGCATCTCAGGCTCCCAGCCTCCCAGGCACAAGGCCCAAAGGGCAAGGCTATTCCCACCTCCCTTGTTGCGCCTCTCACTTTCTAGCGTCCGCTCTGTCCTGTGTCTCCTCCTTGTTCCAACTTCAATATGTGTCTCCTCCCACTGTCGCCCTTGTTTTCCTCGTCTCCCCCGCTGCTGTCGTTCTCTCATCGCGTTGCTCTTCCAGCTATCGGTATTAGGTCTAGCGTGTGTTTGCGCGAGGCGTACCACAAACCTATGATGCTTCCCTCTTTGCCCCCCATCCATTCATCCATGGCCCCACTCTATGGCTTCCCTTCCGACGTCCCCTTCTTGCCTCCTGCTTTCCTCTGCAACGTTGCTCTATTAGGATTGGATGGGATGGGATGGGATGGGATGGGATCGCTTGGCATGGCTATTCTTAGAGCGTGTTCCTGCGGCCTCTTCCCAGCCAACCTCTTCCCAGACTCGCGTGCTACAGTGTCGCGTAAATTTAACGTGAAGCAGTTTAGTGCGGTTCCGCGTGGTGTGACGCAAGGTTGGGATTATAGAGATTCAAGGTGTCTCCAAACCTGATTTCAGGCGTGTGGTTTTCAGACGTGCGCAAATCTGTACAGTGCGATTTTGACGCGAGCTGATTCATTGCGATTGAGAACGCGATTCTGAAACGAATTGGATTGAAGAGTCCCTCAAACACGTTCTCAGTGGAGGGCCGATTCTGGGAAGAGGATGCCTGGGAAGAGGCTTGCAGGAACACGCTGTTAGTACTTGCTTGCTTTGCTCCACACATCGTGCTCCCCCTATTGTCTGGATTGCGTAATGGCCTTCTCAAACTCATACTGCACATGTATTGGTATCGGCTAAAAAATAACCAGGGTTTGTAGCGGGATCACTGCTTTCAAAGTTGTGTTGCTGTCTGCACTTTGAGACGGGACGGGTGCTGAAGAGTGCATCCCATGCCATGCTGTGTGACCAGAGGATGTACTGTCAAGGAGCTAGTACTAGGCTAGGAGGTAGTGAAGGCCGCCATGAATGTGGCGGCGGGGTTTACCTAGGAGGGTAGGAAAAGTGTCGAGAGAAAAGAGTGGTTGGAGTCGTAAGAGAAGAGGCATACAAGGAGGGGTTTGTACCCTCTACAGAAAGGTTCAGTAACAACCTACCAAGCCTATATAAATTATAGCTTATATTATTTTAACACACCCCCTAGGCTTGGTAGTGTCAAGCCCACACACACACCCCCACCCCCCCTAACTAAGCACCCATGCCCAGCAGCAGCTGAGATGCCGTCGGGACTGGACCAGTCCCACGGTCCGGGAGACGGCTATGGCGGCAGCGGCGGCAGTGACGAGAGCGGGGTCGGCGACGGCGTGCGGCGGCAGCAGGCCAGCGGCCCCCGCCCTCTCGGCGGCATGGCCAGGCTCCTCGGCGACAGGGACGGCCATCACGAGGCAATTGTCGACTCTGGCAGGGGAACGGAGGGGAAGGAATGGGGGGGGGGGGGGGGGGGGGCTGGGGAACGAGGCGTAGTCCAGAATCACGCCGGCGGCTGCAGAGCGGGCGGCAGGTCCGGCGGCACCACTGACGATGCGCGGCCGGCTGTCGCCCGACGACGCCGCCACGGCAGCCAAAAGACGCCGCCACAGCGCGACGTCGATGCCGCGGCGGCGAGGCGGAGGTGCGACAGTAGCACGACTAAGCCGCCGCGGCATCTCGGAGAGGCCGCCACGGCGACACGGAAAGGCAAGGCCGCCACGGCGGCAGAAAAACTAAAGGCCGCCATCGGCGGCACGAAACGAAGACAGGCGAAAGACAAGTACACGGCGGAAGCGTGGGGAGCAGGCCCGTAAACGGTCACCTGCTCTGAAACCATGTCAAGGAGCTAGTACTAGGCTAGGAGGTAGTGAAGGCCGCCATGAATGTGGCGGCGGGGTTTAGCTAGGAGGGTAGGAAAAGTGTCGAGAGAAAAGAGTGGTTGGAGTAGTAAGAGAGAGGCATACAAGGAGGGGTTTGTACCCTCTACAGAAAGGTTCAGTAACAACCTACCAAGCCTATATAAATTATAACTTATATAATCTTAACATGTACTACTGAGGTAGTACAGTGAGATGAATATGGACGTCAGTCCAATGGATTTTGCTTGATTGCAAAAAGGATGGGGGCAGTGAGGAGAAAAGACACCAGAGAACCTACAGACTCAATCCAACCCAAGAGATGCTGAGCATAGTGCACCCCATGATCTGCCCCCACCCCATTCCACCACACCGCATGCCACTACCTTGGTGGTAGTATGAATATGGACGACAGTCCAATGGATTTCGCTTGATTGCAAAAAGGATGGGGGCAGTGAGGAGAAAAGAGACCAGATACAACCTACAGACTCAATCCAACCCAAGAGCCGCTGAGCATAGTGCACCCCATGATCTGTTGTGATAAAATCGTACTTGAGGATTTCTGTAAGTAGTTCCGATAGATATTGTGGAGTTACACTGTAGATAGCATCCGTAGAATGACGTCAGCAAATAGCGCTAGTCTGGATGATTACGTCAGCAAGCTGTTTCAGTCACGCGAATAGTCGCGCTCTTTTCAGTAGCGGTTAGAACGCATATCGCAAATAGCTCGAGCAGGTACATCACCAAATAGGTACTTCTACCAGATATAAAGCTTGTACAACTTCAATTGTTAACTTGTTCTTCAGTAAATTCTGGTCAACACTTTACAAGTTCTACGACTTCCGCTGTCTTACTAGTCTACCATTCCAGCAAACATCCTTGGTGACGTCTTGAAGTATCGCAAGGCTGTAACACTGACTCTGGTGTTACAACTTGTTAATACTAGCTATTACTGGAGGTACTTCCAGTATTACTTTCGACTTCAAGTACTTGTGTTTGCAGATTCTATACTTAGTCTCTTGCACCACCATTCGAATTCTTTCATGGTATGAGAGCTGTCTGGAATTAAGACTAATGTCAATTCGATTATCGTCAATTTTTACAAATGACTGGACCATCACCATCAACAACGTCTGCTTCTTCAACAACTGGACCCATGGGTGTTACAAATCCTACAGTCATTACTAGTCAAGCAGGTAACTCTGCAGCTTGAAAATTTCCACCTGCTCATTCTTCAATTGGGATGCCGCAACAGCAGCAAGGTTTGCCTTCTGTGCATCCGCCAGGGACTTCGTCCTCTGCACCTGCAATACAACAGCAACAAGCAACAGCATCAATATCAGCGGCTTTTAGTGGAATGAGTATCGATGGCTCCAGCAATGCAAGAGCTGCAGCCACTCCAAGCTCCAGTTCTTCGTTTGCGTTTACACCTGCTCAACATCAACAATTTCAATTTCTTCAACAACAGCATCAAGCACAATAACAATTTCAGCAACAACAGCAACAACCGCAACAACCGCAACCGCAACAGCAACAGCAACCGCAACAGCAGTTTCCGCAGCAGTAGACTTCATTCGCTGGTCCTGTTTTTCAGGCTCCGAATCTTTTAAGCAATACACAGATTAAGACAACTATACCTTTTAATGGCGTCGACTTCTACGCTTGGAGTTTCAAGTTCGAACTTTTCACGAAATCCGTTGGATTGTGGCCGTTCTTCAGTGGCGATTATTCGTATCCTGTTACGGAAACACAGATGGAACAACAGAGTTCTCTTCATGCTTCACTCAGCGCTTACACCGTCCTCATCCGCAATCTGTCGCTGAAAGAGCAGCTTGGTATACGCTCGCTTCACACCAGCTTGACTCCAGCTGAATCTGCGTGGAGGCATTTGAAGGGATTATACATGGCACATAACACAATTTCCGCGAGTAAAATTCTCTCACAACTGACAACTGTACAGATGCAAGGCAACGAGAGCATTTCGGATTACATCAACAAGGCTCGAACACTTCGTGACCAATTGGAAAAGTGTGGCGGATACTTCCCAAAGGACATGTTTGTAACAATCCTTCTTGCCGGTCTTGGAGCAGAATGGAGGCAGTGTCGATCTCTTCTTCGTCTTCAGCCAAATCTTTCGGAAATAGAAATCTGCTCAATCCTTTAAGCAAAACAGCAAGATCTTGACCTGCAGACAGCATGTAACAAAAAGGGAGCAGTCTATATCAGTTTTATTCAACGCCAATGAAACGTATAAACAGGTTCTTCTGTCACTACTGCAAAAAGGATGGACACCGCATAAAGTTTTGCAACAAGCTTCAAGCTGATAAAAGAGGAGTGGAGCAGCAGTCGCAGCAGTTCAAGTAATCCGTGAAGCAGAATCCACCGACAACAACTCCTGCAACATCAGGAAAACAAGTCTTCAGCTGCGTTACAACAGTTCATGCAACAGACTCAGATTTTGATGATGACAACAACAAAAATTCTATCGAGCAACCTGACAAAGTGGTTTTACCTCAAGTGCATGCTAATCTTGCTCGGATTATCGCAGGACCAAACACTTGGTATCTTGACAGTTGTTGTGGACAACACATGTGCTCTGCCGAAACGCTCTTCAACACTCATCAGCGTCCGCTTCGACGTCCAGTACATGTCTCAGTCGCAAATGGACAAACAATAATGGCAAGGTCAATCGGCAACGTCATGTTGGATTCGGTCGACACCGGTTATTCCTTACACGTTACTAATGCTGGACGTGGATTTAATATTCTTTCAATGGCTCAACTCCTGCGACATAAGATCAGGACACAAGGCAATTGTGAGACGATGGACCAGGAACTTTATCACAATGATAGAAATACTTACATCGGGAGAGCTGGCACTCATTATGGGGTCTCCGTTCTTTAATTCGAGTCACAAGGGACTTTTGGATCTTCAGAAAGAGTGTTATCCAAAAGAAACTGACTTTCAGAACGTTGACATCGACATCCGAGCAACTGCAGTTCCAACAGGTTCTCGTACAGCAGCAGCGGTTATAACGGCTCTTGATTCCTGGCCAACAAACACAGCAGAGGAAGATACATTAGCATGGAGGAATTACTATGGCACTTTACAGCAATTTGAAAAAAAACCTACACAACCTTGGGGACCCAGCAGCAGCAGTGAAGCAGAGGAAGCAGAGGAGCAGAGTAGCGGTGAAGCAGAAACAGGTGTTCTCGTCGGTCAACCTGCAGCAGACTCACAAGAAACCGAAATAGAGGAAGGGGAGTTGGTTCTACAGCCGGAAGAGGTTATCGATTTAGAAATTACAACGACGAAGTTACCTCTTGATCGCTTCGTTCCCTGCCAACTCGACGAATCACCCGCGATTTCTCATTTCATCGTTTCTTCTTTTTATACTAACGCCGATTTTTATCTGCGATCAACAGGTTACAAAGCAACTGAAGATATTTGGCATCAAATGTTAGGACATCCTTCACCGGGGATACTTAACCATAATATCCGAGCTTCAGTTCTTGACAAAAATAATTACTCTTACCGGATGGAACCGAGATGAAGCCGTCTTCAAAACCAGCAGTCTGCACCACGTGCACAACTGCAAATCTTCTGCACGAACCTTTTACAAGTCACTTTCCTGGTTCAACTCGATACAAACTTATGCAAAAAGCTTACATCGACATACTCAACTTACCTGAAGCAGGACCTAAGGGGGAGTTGTACATGATTTCCTTTATCGAGGCTTCTATTCGATACGTTTGGATGGTAAACATCCTGACTCGACATATGGCTCACTATATCTTCGTCGCGTGGCTCGCGGTGGCATAAAGAGAATCGGGAGAGAAGTTACAAGAGTTACAGAGT